GTTAAGGTCGGAAAACAAAGAGAGCGCCTTTGTGACTTGAACAACAACAGAAAATATTGGTGCTAAAAACTACTTTTGTTGGTCTCAAGCCAAGTCACCTCCTAAATACTATACAGTTAAAAAATTACAGCCATGGTCATAATAGTACTTTAAACAGCTCATAATAGTATTTTAAACATCACAATAAAGTCCGTCTGAACACGAATCATTTTAAACCTCTTTCACATGAAGAGAATAATACACACAGGTGTAGAAAGGATTTTCCATTCTTTAGGAGATTCAGAAATGGAATTGTATTGCATATAAAGCTCATTATCCTGGATCCCTTAGGGAAAAAGGGAGGAATATATTTGCATCACGCTCATTTTTCTGGCCTCAAAAATTTTTTGCACTCTCCGTTATTATTGGCATACTAAAGAAACTTGTTTTATTGCTGACAGGTTTTCTCCAGCAAAACTAGACCACCAACGCTAATTGTAAATACACACATTATGGCAGGGTTTAAAAACCTACTAAGGAAATCCCACCGCTCCTAAACCTCTGTAGAGCTATGGCAATTTATATCAGCAGGGCATCTGCCGTATATAATTTTATTCCCCGAGAAGCACCGCTCTAGAGATGCCGAGCGACAGTCCAGGGGCCATTAGCAGTTCCCGGAGCGAGCGCCGGTAACCCCCCGGGAACCTCTGGGGCTCCCTGCCCCGCACGCAGCCCTGCAGCAGCGGCATTTCTCCACGTGAATTCTCGCTGCTAGCACACAGGACTGATAAAAGCAAGGAAGATAGTCTGTGAAACAGTTGACCCACCTACTGGTGTCGGCCCAGAAAGTAATTTAGAGCCGAAAAGCTCGTAAGAAATAGCGCAACATTAACCGTAGTAACCTTTTTGTAGAGACAAGCTTCCTAAAAGAACGCTCTTAACAGGGCAAATTGCTACCACCTACACACGGCAGTTTCGGGTATATCCACTTCCTTGTTCTCATCTCTCCCGTTTGTTTCCTCTTATTTTTGCATGCCCGCATCACAAGTATGTGTTCATTTCTTTTCTCCCCTCTCCCTTCCTCCCTCCCCATCCTTGCAGATTTGCCAGGGGCACAGAGAGTCTGCAGACACTTTCCTCTTAAAGGGACAGGCTGCAGAGGGAATTCAGAATGAGAAAGGAAATTAATTAGGAGGTTCACTCAGCCAGGAAGGGTTCAAGTGTACGACAGCCAGAGGCAACTCACTGTTTTGACTGGGTTGTCAAAACCTGCAAATCAGTGTCCCTGTTTATCCAGTGTCTCCTTACCCTACCCCTGTTCTATAGCTCTGGGGATGCTATACAATAAGTATTTGTTAAATATTAATTCTTTTCAGAAAATTGGGTCTTTCTCAAAAATTTTTGGACCATCACTTTAACTACTAGATCAAGTACTGCTTACAGATCTTAGAGTCTTAGCAAGCTCCCTTCCTCATCATTTTTATGAAAACCTAACATACCAGTTTTGCATATCATTCAACAGAACATTTTACTTATTAATTTTTACATTTTGAAAACTTGCTCTATGAGATGCTGAAAGGAAAACATGTAGGAAAGGCGTTAGTAAGTTTTAGCTATTCTGCTGCACCAGAGCACACTCCAAATGTGTAGCTGGATTCTCACAGAAAGGAAGACAGCTTTTCTGAGCAAAACATCAGAACCTGACACTTAAAAAGTACAGTGAGTGTCTGCCACTATTCCAGTCTACTGTGCAAAGGCACCATCAGCCACCACAGTGCTCTGATGACGTGGCCAGAGATGGGACTGACAGCAGTAAGCGTGCCTCCCTCTCTTACTCTCTGTCCCTTGAGCCTGTCTCTAAGCGTGTGTGCTGTCCTGAACTTACACTTCTGAATGTAGTGTAATCATATCCTGTGACAGGACCAGAAGGTTATTAGCTCCAAGAGGATTTTTTCCACCATCTGTATTGATGAATTGTAAAAGCACCGTCTCTTGTGCGCTGTGCACAACCCAAAGAGTGACAGTGTGCTTGAAGGGCTGAGCTGGAGCTGGCCAGTGAACTCCCACAACAGATTATTAATTTTGGAATTTCATAGAAACACCTGTGAGATAAAGGTGAAAGCAAATTTATTATTACATCTTCTTTCACTGATACTTGAAACTCTCTTAGAGTGTCCTCTCATAGTAGGTAACACTGTCAACTTGGCCTTAGAGCATGACTCGTTCCATTACTCAGACTGGTGGTTTAAAACCAGTTGTCTCGGCTAATGCCTCAGTTTCATTCAATACCTTAACAGTAAGATTCCTGAAAAAACTACCTTCATGAGACAGCCCATGATCAACAAGTGCATGAAATCCTGATAGTTCTTTTCAAAGCCTTCAAGCCCAGTCTGCTTTGACCTTAATCTCATGAATAAGTCTTGCCCTCTTCCATCCCACCGCATGAGAGGGAGCGTGGTTTTATCCGTTGGCCACTTCAATCAATCAGCACGCCCCTCCGCCGTGTTGCTTCTGCCGCTTAGGTCAATTCACACACAGGCTAGACATGCAAAAGGGAACAAAGCAGCAAACTGGTTGTGGACCATGTGGAAATGGCATCATACAGCTGAGAAGTTACAAATGTTAGAAGAATAGGATTTTGTTATTTACCTCTGAATGTAAGAAACATCGATAATTTTGTACTTGTAATTTAAAGAAGTAGGACAAGAATAGGAGCAAGGAGACGACCATTAAGGACATAAATAAACTTTATCACGACAGCCTAAATGCTGATGAAACCTCATAGCAGTGGGATACTTTGGATGGATCGTGATGGGAGTAGACCTGAAGATAAGCAAAAAACCACTCTGAACTGCTTTCTTGTAGTTTGTGGGTAGACTTGGGGATAGACCAAGAACTAACCCTCAGAAAGCAATCACTGACCAAATAATCTGAGTTCAGAAACAGATGTGTACAAAGAAGCCTGTCCAAACAAAGAAGCCTGTCTAAACAAATAAAACATGCAGCACATACAAATCACTGGATGCCTCCAGTCAGTTCCTGTGAAGACCAAGGATAATCAAAATTGAACACAGAATGCTAAGGAATATAAATACCTTCCCTTCTTCCATGTGTCTGGTATAGCCTAGGGCACTGGAGGCAGATGTGGACGTGAAATGAAATTCCTATTATTATTAATTTTGAACAAGTATCATAAATAAAATTTTATCAAGTAACTGTCATTTTTGCCAGCATATCCTGGTAACCTTTGTGCAGCACCTCTCCCCGCTGCCTTGCAGGCCACCTTCTGCCAGGCACACATGACTAAACTTTAGGTTCTCATTTACACAGGTGCTTGAACTAGTCTTAGGAATTGTGTATTCCTTTAAATTTTAAGAGTTGTTCTCTTAGAGTTTGAATGACATAGGAACTGCTAGAGGAAATGATAATAAGAAAATTGGCTTACTCTGAGTGAGAAAGCAGGACTTTCTCCACCTCAGGATACTGCTGCAGGAACTACTGTATATGTCTAGTGTAAAAATATGAATTCCAGTTAAGAAAATACTTATCTCAGAGACTTTGCTGTCATGTCAACAGATGTCAGATACTGCTTAAATTGTGAGTTGACTTTGAGGCCTACTGCATCAGATATCAAGGTCTCTCTCATTCAATTTAAAAATCAGAATTAACATAGTAATCTGTTCCCTTCTGCTGCCATTGTAGGGACAATTTGTGATTGCTGCTAACTGATATAAAACATGCCCCTTCCTATTGCCTTGACCGCTCCCTGTCTGACTTTTTCTGATTTACACACAGACTGGATGTGCACTAGACATGTTCACAGTAATTAGTACAATAGGTACCCTGGCTGGAGACTCCAAACTCACCAGACATAAATAATGCATTCACAAGCACCATGTGTAATGCTCCACTGTAAGTTAATATTTCTCTGAAATGTCAACCTGATGTTTGCTTCCCAGTATAATTCCCACATCTAATTAACACTTGTCTAATATACATGCTATAACCAAGAATGTTCTTTGAGGCTACCTTAATCGTTCTTTCTCAATTGGAATTAAAAAATAATTGCAATATATTTAAGAGACACTAGAGGGAAGCCAAGACATCTCAACAACCCTCTCAAATAATACATCTTGCAGTCCTAAACACAAAGTTAAAAAAAAAAATCCTTAACATGATGTAGAAAATACCAGTTATACTGACTACATGTAAAGATGCCAAACAATTTATTAATTTACAGCATGGCTTTGCTGTTTCTTTTTACTGGCACTCTGCATGCTGTTAGGCTGCAGGCAGCTCCCCGTAGGTGTTCCCTTGGTGATGCTGAGAGCCTCTGAACTTTCACAGTTGTAACACTTGACAGTAATCTCATGAAGCATTCAAGACAGTATGGTAACTTGCCAATACACAATGTAAATATGGGTCGTGAATATCTTGTGTTTTCTTCCTTATTTGCTGTTTGTTACACAATTGTGTAAGTTCTGGTAACTTCTACTCTGGACATACTTTTTTTGTTATTTTTTTCAGCACCTGTCACACTGACAAGGCTATCAGGATGTCTAGTTCATGCCCTCTGTGTGTCCTTTCACCAGTGTTACAAAAAAGGACTCATTTTCAGCCACAGTACAGAGGTAAGGCAGATGCAAATATGGTCAGAACAACTCGTTTATATTCCTGCTCTAAGCTGCAGTGATCAGGCACAGGGCTTCTCTTGTACCCCAAGAAGTTCTGGTCATGTGATTGACTTTCCCTCAAGGTTCTCTTTCTCCTCTCCCAACTTTTTCCATTGCCACCCACATTTGCTCCAAAACAAGCAGCTGTTCTCCCTTTTGCCAACTGTCCCCGATTTGGCTGACTTGATATCCTCATTTGTTTTTTACGATACGGGTGCCCTGGTACTTTCTACCCTGGCCATCAATTCTGTTAAATTAGTACCACTTTATTTTGCCCGTAGTGTGCCGCTGTTTCTCATCCTGCTGTCTTTTTAGAAGCGACGCAAATCAGGGTTAACGATCAGCATATCTACCTTAACATATCTGTTTATCTTCACTCCCCAGAAAGAGGGGTAACAAAGAGAAAAAACCAAAACCAAAAAAACATTTGATATACAAAGTAAGCTGATGGTAACACAATGCCAAAAATAGCTTATTATGTTAAGTGCAAGGGAGAAAAGCCTCGATATAAAGCTTGATTGCAACAACATTTCAATTTACCAGTTTAAATACAAGACTTGCATTAAAATATTTCTTGAGATACATCTCTTACTCTTAAGGATTTTTTTTTTAAATTTATATACACATATCCAGTTGTAACACTTGACAGTAGTCTCATGAAGCATTCAAAGAGTACAACTTGATAAGTACACACTGTAAATATGAGTGGTTAATGTCTGTACGATTTCTTCCTTCAAGGGTTTATAACATTATGTTGAGTACTAGCCTCAGACAGGTGACCAGCCACCTGATACAGTATAATACCCCCAAGCCCTTCCCCAAAGTCCCACAGTCTATTCTTCCAATGCTCACTGGATCCAGATGGTATTGCCTCTTTCTGGTCTGCGAGACTCCACTGTCAGTTCTCCAAAAGTGGAGAAAAACTGCTCCATTTCCTTCTGCAACATATCATTCCTCTTCTCTGCATCTTCCTTGGCCCGTTCTGCATTACGCATTTTGATTTCTACCATTGTGAACTTCTTCCGCTCTTGATCCAGTTCTTCATGCAAGGCCATCATTTCTGTCTCCAGGGTCAGATTTCTCTGCTCCAAGCTACAAAAATGAAATAAAAGTAGACAGCTCCTGAGCAGCCCTCCTCACTCCCTTGAACAGAAATGCACACTACCAACAAATTCATACATGTGTCTTTTCATTTATAAAGCTTAGACTGAATTTTTGAGAGGTGTATCTACAAATCATAACTTCATCAATGAACCACTCTCATAAGCCAATCTCTTCGGTAGCTCATTTAGAAAATGCCTAATAACAGCCACTGGCAAGGTGCACGGTAGCAAACAGCTCCACTTAATTCTCCAGGAATAGGCTAAGTATTCCTCTTACTTCTGGAAGTATTGACACTCAGCTCCTGCTGCAGTTGTACTAGTGTCACTTACAAGGTCAGAATAATGCACTGAATGCCTTTCTTTCACTGCTAATCTCCTTTCTTCAGCCTATTTATCTGCTGTATCTAATTGCACATATAGATTGACAATTTAAAAAAACCTGCAATCAACATGTTTTTTGCCTAAAAAACTGACCCTATTTCAGATCTAGCTTTCCAATGAAAAGCATCTGAAATCCCAGTGGTACTAAATACACAATCATCATGCGTATTAAACATTAGAAGTGCTCTACTGCACTGCATACTATGCTGAAAACAGTGATGTGGGCGAAAGACTGCAATATTCTGTACACTGTACTTTCACTGGCAGCTGCTGTTGCCAGTAGCTCTGATCCAGTAGCTCTGCGATCCAGCTATGACTTGCAGTGCCAGAGGTGCCCCTTGCAGTGCAAAGGGCTGTTGTGCAAGAGATTAGAAGACAAGTCCTGAAGAGCTTTACTGAAGAACCTTTATTACAAAGAGAACGCATTCAGATCTGCACTGCTGTGTGCACTAGTTAATGCTAAGGCCAGCCTTTGAGGTTATTCACTGATCATTATGGCCATCCACCCTAGCAACCTTGTTACATGCGAGAAGAGTCCACACTGTCTGTAGACAGAGACATGGCTCTCCCTTGCCTTCTTTAACAGATCCAAGCTGTGAAGGAAAGGTTCAGGCAAAGCAGCAGTGCGGAGATAGGACCATGAGCAGAGGGAACTCCCACATGCAGCACAGTCTCAAGAGGAATGAAGACTCTGGAAAGGAGTTCCAGAAGTCTCCCAGTCCCAAAAACTACAGGTGTAATAAGCCATAGCACTGCTTTCACTGAAAGGTGATGCCCGTTTGCCCTTCTCAGTCTCTGGAAAACAGGCATCAACTAATGAAGACCTTATGAGACCCTACTGATTTTGTTAATTAGATTTTACACAAACTCACAAGGTTCTGGCTTTATTTTTTATGCCAATAGCATAGCATATTACAACCACAGAAAGCAACTGCTCTGAAACAAGCCCCTTTGGATCATGGTACCACAAAAGCAAAGTACGTTAACACTGAAGGATGCGAGACTCGGTGGCAAGCACCCAGTGGCTGCAGCTAGTGCAGACTGCTAGCAAGTCACGAGAGGGAAATGGCTGCAGCTAGTGCAGATTGCTAGCAAGTCATGAGAGGGAAAACTTGGATTTACTCTGCAAGAGGCAGTCAGATGGTAGAGCCAACCCGTCTTACCTTTTTATTCTTGTCTCATACTCTAGTTTTTGCTTGGCCATCTCTTGCTTCAAGCTGGACACCAGGCTTTGCAAAGCACTGTGATTGTTAGTACTGTTGACCACAAACGTTTCACTGTTATCACTGCTGCTGGTGGCTCGGCTGCTGTGGCCCCCTGCACTCCTTCTGTCACTTTTGTTTTCATAGTCACATGGGTTAGAGAGGTCTTCATGTGGTGGTCCATCCAGCACAGAGTCTTCAAAGTTACCTGCATAAAAGTCCTGCTCAGGGCAGGTGGTGGTGGATGAACGACAGGAGTTGGAGTGCTCAGGGAGGGATATTTCACAAGAGGATGTTGACCAAGTGGCACTGTCCACACTCTGTTTGTCATCAGAGTTCACCATAGAGAACTGCTGGTGGACATTGTCGTAGGTGGAAAGCCTGTTGTGCTGGCCTGACTCACTCACTGATTCCTTCTGCTTGTTGTCCCTCAGTGTGACGTAGCCATTGGGCACCCAGCCTGGGGTCCGGCTGTTAAGGGTGTTGCTGTGACTGTCTGTGCTAGAAACACCCATCCGCACACCTCCGTTCTGCACGCTGTGTGTGCCCATCTTAGTTACCGGTCCTTTCAGGGATGACGTTCTCCTGGTTTGCAGGCTACAGTTTGGTAACGTCTGGCTCTTCTCAGGACCCTCCACTGAGCTGCTGAAGGACCCGTTGGTGACTATGCCACTGCCTTTATTAAAAGCAGGATTTTTTTTCACCATGAGTGGTGGGCTTCTGGTGACATCTAGTTTCTGGATGCTGTTCCTGGGGCTATTTGTCTTGCTGCCTGGCAGAGCCGTTGGAGACTCACTGTCCATGCTTCCCCTTTGCGGAGATTCGGGTTTGTCCCAAGAGCAGCGCCTCACTGCTGTCTCCTTGGTGTTGTTGTTCTCTTTGTTCTGTAGCTGCCCCACAATCGCTTTCTTTGGCATTTCATTGTTGTTGTTGCATACCTCGGGTCCCATCTGACAGTCTGCATCCTTGGGAAACAGCTCTTCATGTTTGCTAATCATCACTGACATTAGCTGCTGGACTACTACTGTACCTGAAAGGAGACATCAAGCATATGGTCATTAATGGTCTATTTTGTTTAGGGCATAGATTCCACAAATACTTAATAAACATTCATCTTATACGAACATTGACGCAATGTGTCCATCTGTGTAACACCCTGAATGTTTAACACACCTGAAGTGCCTCTGGCTACCATGCCAGATCAGCACCACCTCTTCCTTCCATCAAACCGAGCCAAGTCAGCAGGCCTCACAGACCCCATAAGAACAGGAACTTTTGTGAAAAAGCTGTTACCGTGACAGTAACTGCACCCCACGAAGACAACAGAAGGAGATAATGAGTAGCAAAGGATAACATCATTGTAAGTTATGTGTTTCAACTCCATGTGGCGATCATTTTTAAAACCAAAGTCTTATTCTGGCATAGCACTTGCATTCGGTTGTTTAACAGAAAACGGGCAGTCAAGGGATTTGCATTGCTGGAGCACAGATGTTTTGGTCTTTTGGAGCAAAACAGGGCAGCAATATGACAGAATTAATTTAATGTGAATGCCCTTAACTGCTCCATGGTGAGACTATATGCAACCCGGAAACTATGCCACATTACAGCACAGTGTGGAACTAATTCAGGACCACAGCTTGCTATTTGCTGTAATAAATGGCTACCTTTCCTCTTAAAGAACAACCCCTTGGTGTGTACACCACTCAACAGCACCACTCACACACTAGCATTTATAACTGGACTTGGGGTAATAAAGATATGCAACTCTATTTTGTTAAGCAGACCCTCATTAAGGATTATTAAGAATATTTCAGGAACAAGGTCAAGGTAGTTATAACAACCATCCCATTTGTAAGCTCCTAGAGAGCTTTCAGAGGCATGCTGTGCTCTTCTAATCAAGAACTTCCCACTGTACGGTATCATTTCACATCTACTCCTTTGTAATATTCTGAACCTTTATACCCCAGCTTTTTAAAATACAACTACTAAGAGCCAATTCAATGTGGGTACTTCGACAACTTTTTTTTTTTAGTGTTCTTGTTTGTTTGTTTGTTTACTAAGGCAGAATCATACAATGGAACTATGCGGCAGGAAAATTCACTTAGTTACTCCCATGGCGCATTTAGCTGTATTCCTTCTGAGAACATTAGCTGTTACGTGCAGAATTTTACTACAAACATCGCACTGTACTCAGGCAACTTTTACCACTGTTTGACAGGAAAAACTGCCCCATGACTGGAATTCTGGAAAATCTCTCTTGACTCAAACAAGAACAACTCCTCATCCTCATTATACAGGTATGGTTACCCGTAGCTGCATGTTTGACTTTGAACGCCTGTACAAGAAAAGCACTCTCTATCTTCCAAAAAGCAAAGAGCAATGAAGAAGGGTGGCCGTGAGCACCAATTGATGTACGGTCTTTGTTAAAAATTCCTATACATTTAACTATGCATAGCCCACCTGCAAATCAGCATTGTCTCACATCAAATCTTAAATTTATGCTTAAAGAGAAGTCATACATCTATTTAATCAAACCTGTTTCTCATTAGTTTCAAAACATATGTATTTCCCTTCAATGAGTGTAGTATCCATGCCATTTCCTACAGCAGCCATCATCATTTTAGTGCTAGGGCTGTTGATAAACAGGCTGGAGAGTTGCTTTCAAGAACTGGAAAAACATTCTTTTCCTTTTCCACTTGGTTTAAAAAAAAAAAAAGTAAAATAAAACGTTCTTGCTCAAAGTTTCAAAAACAAAAAACCCCACAAACTTTAGGCAGAAGCCAGTTCTGGAAAAATATAAACCTAGAAGACAGTATTCAGTTCGTGCGGGCAGGGCGTGCAGGGAAGG